TTGTGCCAAACTATTTACCAAAAGAGTGTGGTTAAGGATTACTCAAATAATTTTTTAAATCAAGACATATGAAGGAAACATGGAACATGCTTTTTGTAATATGAGGATTGTGATGGAGGTATGGTGCGAAGGTATGGAATTGGAACAAAGTTTGAAGAGTTGAATTTTTAGTTAGTCACATTGCTTCCTCGAAAGAAAAGTGCATTGATTTCCATCTTTTTTTTGGGGGGGGGACCGGCCTTGGGGCCAGAACTCTGGGCCTGGGCACTGTCCCTCAGCTCTACAGCTCAACGCTAGTGCTCTACCACTTGAGCCACAGTGCCACTTCCGGCTTTTTTCTTTTTGCTTATGTGATGCTGAGGAATCAAACCCAAGGCCTCATGTATGCAAGGCAAGCGCTGAGCCACTTTCCCAGCTCTTTTTATAGAGCTAAAGTAGACCATGTATCTAAGGTCTGACCTTGAACTGTTTATGAGAAATATTTGTGGGAATTCTCTGGAAATTATTTAAATAAAACTGATTTGACTTGATGTTTGGCCTATCCTTCTCAATTTCCTTGTAGCTTTTAGCCTGGAAATCACTGATAATAGCTAAAGACAATAGCCATTTGGAATATGAGTTAAATCTAAGGGAAGAAGTCAATAATATAGAAATGCAGGCCTTTTAGAGAATTGTGGGCTATAATATTTACCTTAATTCCCACCTTCCCACTTTACAGAAAGTAATGTGGAATAATGTACGTTGTGAAGTCACTGGTAGTTGTGTTTTTGTTATTGTTGTTCTGTTGTCAAAGGATGGATCGAGATCTATTTTTCTAAAGAAAGAATGATGATAATTCCAAATATAACTAGGCCATATTGTTCATAATTCTATGTTTGTATCCACGTTTTATTTAGGAGAGTAGCAGTGAATGTGTGTGTGTGTGTGTGTGTGTGTGTGTGTGTGTGTGTGCATGTGCGCATGCACACACACGAAGATTTGGCATAGGAGAAATAATTTCTTCCTTGGAATTGTGAAATAAGTGAATTCTTTACTGTGGAGGATAAACAAGATTTCTTTGTATATCCAATCCAATTAAGTTTTTGGCTAAAATGTATCAAATTGGTTATGGAAGGGCTCTATTATTTAATCAACTTTAGTCTAATATCACAGGAGTCACTTGTGAATTTGAAGAAAGTAGAAAAATAGATAAAATATTTATTTTTCATATATATATATATATATATATATATATATGAAAGAGTAAATAGAGTTTGCCAGAGAACCAGGCAGACATCCAGGTACAGAGAACAAAGAAAGGTTTATTGCTGGGGAAAGGGGGCCGGCAAGTCTCCTTCTCACAAGGGAGAAGTGCAAAGCAACACCAGCTATTGTCTGGGGTGACCTATATATCCTAGGAGGTTTAGGAGGCGCTAGAAGGGGCTAGGAGGCAGAGATCCTGGTGTGGACATGTGGGCCAGGGATTTCATCACGGCGGACTAGGATTTATGGCTGCTATCCAAATAGATAAGGGTCTTGCAACTGCCCAGACCTGAAAGTCACCCTAAGGGGCTCTTGTTGCCTTATTTTGTGGTAGCTGCCCCAGAGAAGTGCCATCCCAAGGTAAAAGGAGGTTGGTGGCTGATTATTTACTGCCTTTACTACATGGGTCTAGTGTTGCCTAGGAAGGGAGCATGCTAAGCTATGGAGAAGGGAAGGAGTAGACTAAGCTATGGGAAGGGAACTCATTTTGCTAACAGTATACATACACACATAAACACACACACACACATATTCCTTTGGAAATATAATCCCAGTTATCAGGAGGCAGTGGTAGGAAGATCATGGTCTGAAGCTGGACTTGGCAAAAGTGATGGACAGTACCTGAAAAATAAGCTCAAAGCAAAAGGACTGAGATGGTAGCTGAAATGGCAGAGTGTTTAGAGGCCCTGAGTTCCATCCTTGCCAAAACTAAAACAAAAGGTTATGCTTAAATATACAAATGTATCCTGCATTTGTGACACCAGTCTCTTGGTACATACATTAACATTAAATATTAGTGCTTAGAGTTCAAGAGTTCATTGCTGCCTCCAAATGCTGTTGCCACATCTATCCCTTGAGACTTCACCTGTGCTTATCAACCAGTTTGTTTAACATGTTCCTTTACAGGGCACAATGGTGGTTGTGAGGTCCTTTTGTCTGAAGTCTACCATCTACTTCATGTCAGGTTTATCCAGAACAGAAGATTGATGTTTTCACTAGGTTCCAATCCCACAGCTCCCAGTGTGATATGTTCCCTGCAAAATGCAAAGTACAGGCCAACTTGTTCTGTACAAAAGTCTGTTATTTCTTTAGTTTGGAACACTACCTCATAACCTGGGCATCACAAAGTCTGGTAAGAAAACATTCCTTTGTGGACTAATTATAGTCCTTCAGAATTCATGATTTTTGTTTTGTTTTTGCAAAAGCTTATCTTTTGTGCTGCCAATGAACAGGAGGGCAGATTTCCCCAAAGTTTGTAAGATATAACCAAACTCTGATTCCTAGTTTGAGTTTAACTGATCTTCTTGCAACACCAGAATTTAACTAGCATTCTAGGTGCCTTTCACAAAATAGCTAGTTGACAATAAAACATCCTTTGTTGATGAAATTTACATATTAAATGTACATGAATGTGTTGCACATATGAATATCAATGTGCATATATGTAATATTCATACACATATGTCATATTATGATACATATAGCTATAGTAAGTGAGATATATACATATACCTAGATGCATAACAATACATGAATGAGGTCAGGTGCTGGTGGCTCACACCTGTAATCCTGGCTATGCAGGAGGCTGAGATCTGAGGATCACAGTTCAAAGCCAGCCCAGCAGGAAAGTCTATGAGACTCTTTACACCAATTAACCAGAAGTGGTTCTGTGGCTCAAGTGGTAGAGTGCTCACCTTGAGCTGAGGGACAGTGCCCAGGCCCAGAGTTCAAGCACCATGATTGACAAAAAAACCCCAAAACCCAACCCCCCCAAAATATATATATTGAGTTCTCATTTGTTATGACATGCTTGATGCCACAGATAATGCCATTTTGCTCACTTTTATCTCTTTCAGTTGCAGAACAAAATATAAGCAAGTCTCCAATATTTATTTTACTTATTTTATTTACTTATTTTACAACATTTTCAAATCCCAACATGATCACCATATAGTTAGTTGCAATGTGTTATTATATGGTTATGTGGGTAGAAAATCTTCTCTCAGGAGTTTCAGTTCATTTTGGATTTATTTTAAAGGTAACTTATTATAATTAGTGATACTACATTTTCTTCAGTCTTCTTCTAGTAAATGTGTGTACTATGACTCTGAATAAGGGAGTTATGAATGTGTGGAAAAGATATGGAGATGTCAGTACTTTTGTACTTAAGCAAAATGTAAACCAAGCAACTGTTCTTTAATTACTGGCATAGAAATAACAGAAAAAATGTCTTCTGAACTATGTTTTGTGGCCTGATTGGTTGCAAGGAGCATGCTTTGGCTGTTTTCAAATGACAATCAAGGTATAAAAGTATGATTAAAAACATCAACACAAGTGGGAAAAAAAGCTGCCAAATTATGAAAACCCAAAGCTTTTGATAGTAGCATGGGTGGTAGCATTGCAACAAATAGAAATGAAGGTTGCTTGTTTACTGTATGATTTTGTTGAAAGGAGGATCTCAGCACAGTAGCTTTTCATTTTTAAACAGCCAGATGTGTAATTTTCGTTTGTTTTTTTTTTCTTGTGCCAGTTCTGGGGTTTGTCCCTAAGCGCTTTTGCTCAAGGCTGGTGTTCTACCAGTGCGGTCACAATTCCAGTTCCTCCTGCTTGCTGGTAGTTAACTGGAGATGGGAGTCTCACAGATTTTCTTGTCTATGCTGATTGCAAATCTATATCCTCAGATCTCAGCTTCCCAAGTAGCTAGGATGACAGGAATGAGCTACCAGCACCCAACAGATATGTTCCTTTTTTATGGAGGAAGAGATTAAATATAGTGGGAGACAATGACAGACACGAGGTTGGTGTGTGTGTGTGTGTGTGTGTGTGTGTGTGTGTGTGTGTGTTACACAAAGCGCAATCTGTACAGAATAAAGGAGACTGAGACAACAACAACAACAAAAACATCTAAGTTCTCCTCTGTTTCAGCCCCAGAAACTTGCTGTGAAGAAAAGTTACAACCCATAGACCTTAGTGATTTCTCATTGGCGGGTCATTTTGCCTGCCCTGGGGGCAGGGTGGTCAACTATTAGCTTTTTCACCAGCTTGATGTGTGGACGTTACCGGTCGTAGATGGGAAGCACTCAGAAATTTAGGAAGTTTTCACTGGCAATCAAGTTTGATCTTCAAGTCTAGGCTGGGTCTACACTTCCTCTCAGAAGCTGGGTGACGGCTGCTCTTTGGTCACAGCCAATAGGAGACTCGGTCTGCGAGCAGCTTGGCTGCTGTCCTGGGCAGCAGAGTTTGGCAGCCCTAGGGAGATGAATTTCTTAAGCCTGTGACCCGCCCGGAGTTGAGGAGCAACTCCCATCCAGCCTCCACTCTGTTGCTATGAAACAAAAGACTGGGAGGTGAGCGGGCAGGAAGTCCCGCCTTTTGAGCCCCAGTTGGCCAGGCTCCCTTTCCCTACGCTCACGCCCACCTGCCCACCCCTTATTGGTTAGCGCCCTAGTTCCTCGCCCCTCTGAGTCCCATTCCTGTCTCTTTGCTTTTTTTGCCCCCTGACAAGTCCAAGCCCATGTTCATTTTTTCCCTCCGAGTTTCTTTTCCCTTCGGGACACGCGATCTCCAGAGGCTTCCTCGGGGGCCATTGTGTACTGTGGAGGACGTGGAGCGGGTGGTGTCTCCTGGAGGACGGGCCGCCTCGCGCCCATTGGCGCTGCCCGCTGTCAGGCAGCGTGGGGGCTGTCGGGATTGGCTGGCCGTGCCCCGGCCCCGCCCCCCGGCCCCGCCCCGCGCCTGGGTGTCTGTGCATGTTCACGGGGTGGGGTGTGCGGCGAGTGCGGCGGCGGCGGCGGCCTCCCCGAGAGTCGGGCGGGAGGGGACAGCGGGTGTGGATTTGCCTTGACGGTAATTGTCGCGTTTCCACCACCGACCTCGGCAGCGCGCTAGGACGGGCGGTTACTACTCCCCGCCCGGGCTGCCCCAGCTGCTCCCCGTCAGCACCCCGGGGGCTGCGTGCGTGGAGCAGTGGGACCCGAGCACACGCGCGGGTCTGAGGACCGCCGAGGCGGCGTCAGGCGAGGCGTGCTCAGGGCGCCCGGCGGGAGACAGGCGCTGCTGCCCGGATCGGAGGACAGACGGGAGGAGGTGGGGGGGGCGGTGTTCGTCCCGGACACCCAGGAAGAAGGGAGGGCGGCCCAGCTTCGCTGCCGTCCACAGTGGAGAGACTTGGGGTGGAGGGGTGGGTGGGACGGATTTACAGATCGGATCCGGACAGGAGGAGGAGAAGGTGGGCGCCGCGAGGCCGGGACGCCGACGGCCCGCCGGGGAGGGAGGGAGGCGCGTCCAGTCGGGCGCCCAGCTCCGAGGGAGTCTGGCTGGGCTGCCAGACGCTGGAGCAGCCCGGGGACACTTTGTCCTCCGTCGGTCCTCCTCCTCCTCTCCAGCGGAGATCCGACAGGCCTGGGCAGGGCAAGGGGTGCCCCTACCCCTCCGTGAGCTGTCGGTGGGACTGGAGGACCCCCTGGGACCGGGAGAAGTGAACTCTGCGTTCCAAGTCCCGTCTGGTCCGTTTCTCCCTCCGTCCTCCGTTCCCCTCCCCCCTCCAAAAGGAGCTATTTGTTGATTTATTTGGCTCTTGGGAATAACGACTCACCGCGCTGCTTTAAAGGACTCTGGGTTCCTATGTCCATACTTGGTGGTTTCTGCGGGGAGAAACCCTTTGTTGACAACAGATGTGTCCCTTAGGCGTGTGTTAGGGCGCTCAGGCAGAGCTGGGGAGCACGGGGATTTTCTTTTCTTTTTTAACCTAGTCAGAGGGAACTTATCTGTAGGTTTAGTTGATACTGTTGTCCTTAGAAGTTGGGTCTCAGTGAAGCTTTTAGCTATTAGAAACATGAGAAGGATGCGTCTTTAAGTTCTTAGTGTTCGAACAGGAAAGCTAGGCTCGTGGCTTCTGAACTTTGTGTACTATGGAGAATGGAATCCACACAGGGGTGTTGGAAAAGTTGAATCTGGGCCCCTTGGGTTCTCATTAAGTGTGGAGATTTCAGTGTGTCTAAGTTAGCCTATTGAGTTTCCTGTTGGGTAAATCCTTTCTTACCCAACTAACTTTTTCTTTCTTTTAAATTACTTTTCAAAGAACTAAAGATTCCAGATGGCAAATTCTATGAATGGCAGAAACCCTGGTGGTCGAGGAGGAAACCCCCGGAAAGGTCGAATTTTGGGTATTATCGATGCTATTCAGGATGCAGTTGGCCCCCCCAAGCAAGCTGCTGCTGATCGCAGGACAGTGGAGAAAACTTGGAAACTCATGGACAAAGTGGTAAGTTCTATCTGATGTACTCTGGGTGTATTTCCAAATGCATCCTGCATATACATGGCTTCTTCAGGTTTATTTATATGCATTCTTAATTGGTGAACAGTTATTGCTCTGACAACAATCTTTTGATTTGTATTGGACATTTTTCTTCCATTTCTCTATGTATGTGTTTTGAAAAGCTGGCTTCAGAGCAAAGATTTTTGCTTTGTTTTGTTTTTTAACCTTTTGTCCTGCTCTTCAAGGTTCAGAGTTCTTCTATATGACTCAGATATGCAAAGTTTTTTTTTTTTTCAACCATTGGCTGCTCTCTGTGGGTGTATTACCATAGCATAGTTTAGGAGTGTTGATTCCTTCTTATAGTAGGTTGTGTTGCTCTCAAATAACTAAAGCACACAAGCTATTTAACAAAAATCTCTCATGGAACAGTTACAGTAACCACATGTGTGATGCTCAAAATGTTTACTCAGGAAAGAACCAGATGAGTGCTTAAGGGAGGAAGCAGTATTGGGAGTTTCCATTTTCATCACTGAGAACTGATCATCATTAAGAAACTTTTTAAACTTGTTCACGGCATGGTTATAGTTTCTTTCATCTACTATTCCATTTTGAAACAGGAAACCTTTTTGACTGTGTACTGTTTACTGTGAAAGGAAAATTTATGTTAGGCAGTTGTGGAACTGAGAATAGCAGAAACTTCTGCAGTTTTTGTTTGTTGTATTCATATGGACTGTAATGTCACAAGAAGAAATCAAGGCAGATGTTAGTTCTTAGAGAGATCCAGTTTAAAAAGGCTATCTGAATACCTCACAAGGGTATCCTTTAAAATTGTAGCTGTCAGTACTAAGTAAGATTATGAAATAAATATGACTAAGTTACAGTTTCCTGCTTTCCCAAAATTAATACATTGTGATATATACATATATGTATGTATTTACATACATACCTATTATATACATGCATATATGTATATATGTAAGATTGGTAACACCTTATGGCTTGGTTGATATTTGGGGCTATTTGTGAATTTTATGTACTCAGTAGTATTAGCAATGTGCTCAGGTATCAAGATCTACCGTATTTTCACTGTCTTTTTGCAAAGTACAAGTAAAGATAAATGAATGATAGGCCTGCCATTGTATGGCCATTGTGTTCACAGGCAGAGCCAGAATATTTCTTCCAGATAAATATCCTTGGTTTTGGGTTTCAGTGTGACCCATTTAAGCTTCTGCCAATTCATTCAAATTGTCTCTTAAAGTGCTCCAGACAGAATGATATCATAGTTTCAAAACATTGCAGCTTGCTGCTTGGGTTCAGGTTTTGGCTTTAGCATTGGACATTTAAGAATGAGGAATACGGAGTTAGAAAAATTGCACATATTTGGCAGGCACAGAGCTGTTTTTGAGTTTCTAAAGAGTTTGCATTTGAAGGTTATTCTTTTTGCCACATCATTAGTTGAGTGTTAGAGAAAGAATTCAAGATCTATATCTATATCTATAGATACTTATACTTATAGATATCTATAGATAGAGGCATATATAGGCACATGCATATATGCAACAAATAACAAATAGATCAAGTTTTACAGTGGAGCTGTTATTCCTTGTCCACATACTTCTTTAAGTGATCAAAATTGACATATTTGTGATTTGAGGGTAAGAACATCAAATCAAAAAGATCTGTGTAAAGAAGTGATGGCCAATAGTTTCTGTAAAGTTATTGAAACATTAACGAGATGGTATGCATAATTTTGGTCTATAACTGGTCATTACCATAACTTTTATCCCCTTTTAATTATTTCCCAATGAGTTATGGCAAAATGGGTGGTTATTTGGTAGTTAAACATCTGTCATTGTTTATTTTATTAACCCCTTTGTGGGTTTAGGTTTAACTTCTACAGTTGAGGAAGTTGACTCACAAAGAAATCTGTTATCCATGTCTCTTAGTGGGATGTGGGTGTGGGTGTTGGTGAAGGTACATTACAATGACTTTCTCTATTTATCCTCATTATTTGTCTAAATAAGAAAATGGTGAAAGAGTTTTTGGGCTTTGTGGAGAACAATTATCTACATTACAATGAAAGTTCAGTATGTTCAATTCTGTTCCATCCCGTAGTAATACAGAGGCACCGATAGTTGTAGTTGGCAGTATGCTTTAGTGACATGTCTAATGTGTAGTCATCCTGCACATGTATTACCTCTTCTTTTGTCGGAGGCCAAGGAAGTGGCTTGAAATATCAACATTGTCTGATAATTATATCAAGAACTTTACTAGTAGTCCCAGTTAATCCCTTGACATATCAACTAACTTAAAAAAAATAACTGCAGCTGGGCGCCTGTGGCTCATGCCTGTAATCCTAGCTACTCAGGAGGCTGAGATCTGAGGATCATAGTTCAAAGTCAGCCCTGGCAGGAAAGTCCGTGAAACTCTTGATCTCCAATAAACCATCAGAAAACTGGAAGTGGCACCGTGGCTCAAGTGATAGAACACTTGCCTTGAGCTGTAGAGCTCAGGAACAGTGCCCAGGCCTAGATTTCAAGCCCCATGATTGACATATTAAGTCATATTAAATGAAGTAAGCTAGACCCAAAGACATACAGGTCCTATGGTTTCCCTTATTTTCAATAATTAGAATATGTCTAGGGTAATCTTATCAGATAAGCAGAAAAGCCCAAAAGCTATGAACATATGACCATATAAGATTATGTTAACTGGGGCTGGGAAGGTGGCTCAGTAGTAGAGTGCTTGCCTTGCATGCATGAGGCTCTGGGTTCAATTCCTCAGCACCACATAAGCAAAAAGAAAAAAGCCGGAAGTGGCGCTGTGGCTCAAATGGTAGAGCACTAGCCTTGAGCTGAAGAGCTGAGGGACAGCACCCAGGCCCAGAGTTCAGACCCCACGACCCGACCCAAACAAAAAAAAGATTATGCTAAGTGAAATGAACCCCAAAATATGAACACACGAGGTTTTTCTTTGTTCTTGTTCTTTTTAGTGTGCTATATGATTTTTTTTGGTTTCTTTTATATGTTCTTCCCCCTATATCCCCTTTTGTGACTGTATCTTATTTTGGTACCCTGCATCTTGTATATACATTTATCTAATTTGGGGAGGGGAAGGGGAACAACAAAATGCTGAAACAAAGACACAGGATGACCCATTGCAACAATGATACTCACAAGACACTACGTTAGAAATGAACTTTACAACTTGGAGGGGGCAGAGAGTGAGGGAGGTAGGGGAAGGAGGGGATAGCAGGAGAAAACAAAGGAGAAGGTAACAATGTTCTGCAAGAAATGTACTCATTACCCTTCTTATGTAATTGTAACCTCCCTGTAATTGTAACCCGCCCTGTACAGCATCTTTACCATAAAATGAAATTTAAAAAATACAAGATTTGTTTGTGAGTAACAGAAAACAGAAGCTTTTAAATATAATTAGCCATTAAGGAAAAGTCAGGAGTTCAGATGAAGTTAGCATATTTTGTTTATGAAGCCTCATAAAGAATAAATCTTCAAAGTGTGACTACAAAGAAACTTATATCATGGGGAATAATGAAGCAGTCTTGGACTGTAAGGGAAATATCTAGTGTGTAGGTTCATTGTTTTTTGGACCCTTGAATTTTGGACCCTTGATCCAAATTGAGTTTCCAGTTCCAACTAATTAATTGGTCTTAAGTGGCAGGATTCTTTTTCAAGGTCACCAAGAGAACGGGAAAGTTACTGCTCAGTTATGTGCCTTGTAAGATATATAGTGTGTGTTGCCAATACCACCAGTAGAGTTATCACAGTGCTCGTGCTGAGAAAGGAATGGCAGCATATCCCAACCATCCCATTAGTCAAATAGTCTGGTCTTAGCTTTGTGCAACAGTCTAAGTAAATAGCTAACCCTAAAACCCTCAGATCAATGGATGTCTGTTTGATACAGTGATTTGGTATGACATTTATTATCATAAGTGCACATCTAAGTTATAATGTACCCAAAATGATATGTGGAGTTTGTTCCAAATTTATAACATAGTCAGAGTTTCTTAAATACGTAATGGACATTTATGAATACCTACTGTGTTGCTACTAAGACCTTATTACTAGGATGCAAAGTGAAATCTGTATAATGACTGGGAGAAATGCACGTACCATGGATAATTGCCATATAGGATAGACAGGGCTGCACTACAGACACAGACATGTGTAGAAAGAGAGGAGTAGAGAATATGCACCATGTTTTTTCTGGCTACTGTTCAGTTTTCTGTCTGCATTCTGCTAGCCATTAGTGTGTACTTGTTGGAAACGCTGAAGTGAGGGTAAGGAAATGATTGCTAATCAGTATAGCTGGAATCATAATTTATTAATATGAGGTTCCTTGTATGGTTTTCACAAGGTTTTAGGCAGGTGATGGAAAATAGAAGAAACAACTTTCCGTCTAATAGATGCTAAATGTGCTGAGCCTATGTGAATACTGTGGAAATGAGAAAGTAATTAATTGATGCTAAATAGTAAAGCAAGTTGAATTCCAGCATTTTCCTTGCTGTCCTTGTCATTTGTTTGAAATTATGTAAGACTTTTAAAGGCATTTAAAAATGATGATGCCAAATAGCCTTTTACTGTCTTTTAACTTTAGTACATTTAGTACACTCTTCAACCTTAAAGCGCAATTCATCCTCCATCTTTACAATTTTACTATGACCATAATGTATTTTACATTTTGTCAATCAAAGATGCTAGCATTATAGATAAATAATTAAAAGTGGGAATAATTTATTTTTAAAGTTGAATTCCTTGTCCTCGTGAGGAATTATTCCATAGAATAAAACTTAGTTTGGAATCCACCTAGTGTTTGTTGGCTTTGAAACTCAGAAAAGGGAATATTTGAATTATCTTTTCTTCATATATTTCCTTTCCTTTTTTGGATGGAAATTGCTCTGCCTTGTTAGGATGCTGGGTCCTAGGAGACTTGAACCGGGGGTAAAAACACATTCAGTGTCTACATAATTGTGCTTAGCTTAGATT